CCCCGCGGTGAACGAGGAGGCATGTAGTGGCGATAGATGTGTGCAGGACGTGTTGCGTATCCGATGAATCGTGGAATGAAGTACTGGCGGGTCATTTTGTAATAGCTGTCCATGACCCGGAAGTTTTGCCGCGCAATATCTCAACAACCAAAATGGCTGGAAAGTGCAATAAACTACCCAATCAAAGCAGAGATCTTGCGCTTTCCAGAACGCCAATCAGACACTCAACAGGAGTATTATTAGACAAATGTTGTCAATAGTTTTACCTCCATCCGAAAAATAATGTCCGACTTCGTGTTTTGCGAAAACGAACTTTAAAATACGTAAAATATGCCAAAAAAACTATACAGTTAAATAGAGAAATGTACGCTGAATTCAATGAAAACAAAAACGTCCCAAAATATCATCAACACATGAGATAAAACGAATCCAATCCATATAACTAATGCAAGTGTAGTGTCGCGTGCACCTGAATGGGACTAATAAAAAGAATCCGGATAACATCCGCAAAATCCGGATAAAATATCGGCGGGAAAACTTGGCGGCTTGTCCAAATCATGCGCGCTGGCACCAAGAAGAAGAACCTGACGAACACTCAGAGGCAACACCTACTTCAGCACCTCTTGAAGGTCTGCCTTCCGGATGGCAAGCTACCTCGAGGCACAGTTAAGAGCATGGCGATTTTGTTTGATTGTGACCCAAGGACTGTTCATCGTATTTGGGCACGCGCCTCTCTTGATTGCCCCGGCGTGCAGGCCATATGTGCTGATGTATCTTCTCGAAAGTAGACAAGAAGTGGACGAAAGATTAAATACATTAACCTTGCAGATCAGCTACGCAAAGTCTCTAAAGCTCGTCGAACCACCTTTAAGTCCACCGCAGCAGCAATGGGATGCCGCCGTCGACACTTCATGACTACTTCAAACGAGGGGTCTTCTCGAAATACTCAAGCAGCATCAAACCTTTATTGACTCCGGCAAACCAAGCTGCTCGACTAAAATGGGCACTTGACCATGTCCGCCACGAGAACGGTGAGCTTGTGT